TCCCAGCTAACCCCTATTGCTTCCTTAAAACTTAGCTGTCATTCCTCTGCCCCAGACTAGGTTCCCATAATATGCTCCCACAGAGCTTTGTATTTTAGCTTTGAAACATCACATTTGTCATTATTCTCAATGGCTATAAACCCTTCTAGACTGTACCCTATCTGAAGGCAGAGATGATCTGTCCAGGTCACTCCTGTCACCCATGGCCTAACTCAGTGCCTGAAGTATGCATGGTAGACAGGCAGTAACTATGTAATAAACAAAGGAATGAATCACCCTCAAGGAAATGTTTTTTTATTTTATTTTTTGAGATAGTCTCACTTTGTTGCCCAGGCTAAAGTGCCGTGGCGTCAGCCTAGCTCACAGCAACCTCAAACTCCTGGGCTCAAGCAATCCTTCTGCCTCAGCCTCCCGAGTAGCTGGGACTACAGGCATGCGCCACAATGCCCGGCTAATGTTTTCTATATATTTTTAGTTGGCCAATTAATTTCATTCTATGTTTTTAGTAGAGACAGAGGTCTTGCTCTTGCTCAGGCTGGTTTTAACTCCTGACCTTGAGCAATCCATACACCTTGGCCTCCTAGAGTGTTAGGATTACAGGCGTGAGCCACCACCCCCAGCCAAGGAAATGTTTGTATTAAAACAAAGAGTTGGGTCATAACTGGTGATTACAAGACATTCACATCAGAGGAATGAGGAAAGAGACATTAGTCTTTGCTCTTTATGCCCACATACACGATAAACATAGGAATGAGATGATTTGAAGAGAAGTATTACCAAAACACAAAACATCAGTATGAAGGCCAGTGGTACTCTTTGAAAAGGATTGGGAGTAGGTAAGTTACCTCGTTTCAGCTTTATTAAGCAAAGCCTCCCATCTGCTATCCAAGAGACTCAGCTGTTTCAAAATCTTCACTTTATCTGCAGGCTCTGCTGTTGCAGCGATTTTTTCTCCTTCTCGTTTGATTACCTCTACAGTAGATTTGCGGTCATCCAACAATCTTTGGAGAAGCTTGAGAGGAAACAGTAAATATATATTTTTTAAAGGAAAGGGAATAATTGTATGAAAATAAAATGTGCCCTAAGTACATCTGATCTCTGACAACATATATATTTTGTATGTATGTGCATACACAAGGATCTGAGAAGTGGGGTTTTTACATTTTACTTAATGATTCATTACTATTGTGTCAGATATTGTGGTAGGGGCTTTACACAGTAGACAAAACTAACATTGATAAGGCCTCTAGACTCCCTATTATTATTTTTTTTTTTTGGAGACAGAGTCTTACTTTGTTGCCTGGGCTAGAGTGAGTGCCGTGGCGTCAGCCTAGCTCACAGCAACTTCAAACTTCTGGGCTTAAGCAATCGTCCTGCCTCAGCCTCCTGAGTAGCTAGTACTACAGGCACACTCCACCAGGCCGGGCTAATTTTTTTTGTTTCTATTTTTAGTTGCCCAGCTAATTTTTCTGTTTTTAATAGAGACAGGGTCTTGCTCTTGCTCAGGCTGGTCTCGAACTCCTGACCTCAAGTGATCCTCCTGCCTCGGCAAGACTCTCTATTAATTTTTAAATATAAAATAATAGCACAGAAGTGCTGCTTAGGATAACCCCACCGAATCATGAGAAAACTGCAAAATCTCCGTTACTGTAATCAAATGGAATGCCCTAAACAGTCAACAACCATCTGCCCTGTCGAGATACAAAAGATTCCTATAAATCATTTGCTGTTTCAAAACCTTTTCCCATATTAAACAATCCATTACAGATAAGGAAGTTAAGACTCAGACCAAGTTCACAATCTAGCAAGGCTAAATCTAGAGGTTCTTGGCTCCTCTTTTAGGTAGGTGGGACTAGCTCCTAAATATCTTAAAGATGAAAGACTAAAAAAGCTTTAAATGTTATTTTCCCGCAAAGAAAGAAGGTAGGGTAGAAAGATCTCTAAAACCCAAAGCTGCTAAACACCTACCAGAAC